TTACCAGCTATTTCTAGAGCTTTCAACCACATTTCACAGTGTTTTGGTGCTCTGTTGTAATCATGTGACCAAAGTGCGTGACGTCTCGTTAACGAAGGCAGAGATACAGCGATTCATGGGACAGTGACTTAATGGCCCTATTTTGTTCTCAGCAGTTTACAGAATGTGATCTTTGTGAATAAAGGTCAGATACAAAATAGGAACCAGTGGTTAGTTAAAGTATCTCTTTTGACTGTTTCTTCAATGACCTTTAGTGACCTTTAGTGCTGTTTCTCTCTGCTTCTCATCTCCTCAAAGGAATCGTTTAAATATTTTTGGAAATGCACATTTTTGCTTTCTTGCAGAGAGTTGGATCAGAAGATTGACGATTGACCAAAATCTGCCTACCGGCACCTTGCGTCAGTCTGTGTTTCAGTCTTTATGCAAATATACGCTGAGCACCTGCAGGCTGTAGCTTTATATTCAATGAGAGTGGCATCAGTCTTCTCATAAAACACTTGGCAAGAAAGCGTACGAGAGTCTCTCCCAAAAACGTCAACCTATTCCTTTTAAAAGCTGCTTCAGAGTAATGAGGTTAATGTTCATATGAATGAAAACTTGCACATAAAAAACATAAACACAGAAAGTGTAAGATTTCGCTAGGGAAATGACTTTGAGGCATAGTTTTGTGTCTCCTTTATTTAACGGGAGTGAGCCTACAGAGAAGAAGAAGTCATGGAAAAACAATCAGGAGGCGACAGACTTCAAGCACCTAAGGATCCTGGGGCCTCGGGACACCAGGCTGCACTGTGGGTGTCCATAAGGTTTCATGATTAAAGTGGATCCTCTCCGAGAATGACTCACTCTCCAATTGCTGTGTTGACACCTCACATTAATTGTCTCTTTATTAACTTCGGATTACATGAGGGGACGGGCGTATTCAACACATTTTTCCGCTGTCAGGGCTCCAATGTCGCTGTCATCTGAGAATTTATGAAGGAGGGAAGAGTGGTTGATGATGAAAGAGGTGAACAGTTGCAATAAAAATTGGCAGGAATTCAAATATCAAGACCACTCCTTCCATGTATAAGTATGTCTATAATCGTACGAGTAAGTATGCACGTATGAAAGAAGTCGCTGACCCTTGAGTTAGTTTCACGTGGAAGATTGATTGCTTTCCGAAAGATCAGGCACAATCTCCTGTAGTCCACTGCTGACATCTCCATAAAGCTGAGGAAAGGGGAAAAACTAGAAGTCAAAGTAACAGCATAATCCTCCTTAAAGCCACAATTACAGATTTATTACTGTTCAGGGAAAAGAGAGAGAGGCCTGAGTCAGTGAAAGACAGTGAGGCTGTCTTCGCTGTTTACCTGTCCACCTGTGTGGCACAAAGAAAAAGACCTAACTGTAAATTAAACAGCTTATGAAAAATGCTGTACAACGAGAGGATGAACTGTCTTATCTAAATTATCATGAGTTAGCAGACACAAAAGAAATCTTGTTAGGGGTTTCTGTGTCTGGTTTTGCCTTCAATCTCTGGGTTTAATCGTATGTTTGGATCATTTCTCGGCTTCCTCCGCTCCTCCTTTCATCTCCTCTCCTCACTCGGCAGCAGACTGCAAACCTCAGTGTTAGTAGCTACAGTTGCTAATAAATAGAGAGGGCCTTCAGCCTTTATCCAGATGAAGACTCTCAGGAGAACTGCGCAGAAACAAATGGCTTGTCTCGATGATGACAATTCACATGATGAAAAGCTCCGGCTTACAGTCTTATACACTGATGTAGTCTCCGCTGAGTGCAAATAAATTGTGTTAGGAACCAGCTCAATGTGTGCCCTGGCTATATACTTCACATACCTGAGAGTTAGGCTGCAGAGACATGTGTTGGGATCTGCTCTGTGACAGTTTGTGAGTCCCGTCCTGTCCTCTTTGTGTTGGGAGGATGTTGAGAGGTTGAACAGAATCATATTCAATCTGTCCAAGGACAACCTGCTGGGAAGGTCCCTGCTTAATTTGTCTTCCCGCTGCTCTGCCATTGGCCCTTTGCCATATTTTAAAGTGAAGACAAACGGTCAAAACGTCTCTCACTCTTTCTTTCTTCCATTTCTCACTGCCGGTGCATGGGGTAGAAGGCAAATGGTACAAAGGACGAAGCTTGTTGCTTTCAAATTTGGCAATGAGGATACTGACAATGACAGAGCAACCCATCATTGAGTTAAAGCAAAAAGAAACTGAGAAAACATGGCGCTTCTAGTGTGACGTTAAGATATTTACTTGTAGTTCAACAAGGTCAGGTCTACCTCGTCCATTCTGCTCAACTCATGTAAGCCACTGACAGTTTAAATCCTTGTTTGGTGCAGGAAAGATGAGTTAAAATGTCCTGACAACTCCTTTCAGGGCCTTTACAAACACATGTTAATGCATACTGCAACATATTAGACAGAAGAAGTGTAAATCAATCAAGTTTCATATGAAATATCACAGTCCTATTAACAATCTGTGTATGTTCTCTAATCAGAAATAAGCCCTTGTGCACCAACTTCTATTGAATAACATCAAACCCTTCTGTCCATTCAATAAAACTGTTTCATCAGTAGTTTCACAAAGCCACTCAAGGTTCACTCAGTAGCTTTATCTGGAACTTTCAACCTCATCACATTGTGTTCATCAGAAGGCAGCGATTGCGGTCAGTTGTCATGGGGATGGATCAACAAACACACACACTTAGTAGCTGAAAAAGGTGATATGTGCTATGGATATGCAGAAAAAAAAGTTGTGTATGAAATATAAACAGCTGCTGAGCTCGCAGTGTGCTTCTCAAGACTATGTGATACAATTGACGACTCCAGAAAAAGCCAGTAAGTGGACCTTGATTCATGATGGCAATAAAACAACAAACAACAAACTTAGATGCTCAGTATCATCTGTGTCTCACCTCTAAAATGCGATATCGCCACAAAAATGACACATGTGCTTCTAAAAAATACTGGTAGAGGAACATGGGCTACTAATTTTGGGTTACTATAATCATGAATTTCTTTTCAGAGCTTTAAATACGAATAATCTCTGTTTATCTGTGTGTGTTTCTGAGCGTGTTGGAATGAAACACTTGATACTGAAACACTTGATGTTGTACACGATGGTGGGACATGAGTCATTGCTCCCCGAAGCATTTAGTTGGTAAGCACATTAGGCACTCTGGGAGGGTCAAGCACCTAATCATAAAGTGAAGGATCATGACACCACAAAGTGTGGTTTTTTAAGTGCTCCATCATTAACGATGTCTCATGAGTTGAAAAAAATAAAACAAAGACAGACTGCCACAGGCTGCAGGTTAAATCTGAGGTCTGTGCTGCCATCTGCTGCTGATGCTTTTCCATGCTGCTATCTCCTGTTGATGGTTCATTTGAAACTATCACATTCTCAAATGAGTGAACATGAACATACTGAATGTGTCTGTCCCATGTTTAGCAGCAAGGTGCTAATGATGAGTGATGACTGTCATGATTTAAACAAATGTGTATGTGTTAAGTAGCACATTGAGATGGATGTGATTCTTACCTTGACCAACACATAACATTTGTTATTGTTCTGGCGCGAGTGGGGAGTTTCACTACCTTTAACTTATGACTTTCAGTTTTATGTTTATGGAGTGGAGAAATGTATCTTCCAGTCAGGTGAAATCATGGACAGATTTCTGAATGGGCCTTCTGGGCACAGGCCAAGAGATCCAAGGGATCAGAGGGCTCCAGGCCAGAGCCTCACTATGAAGTGACTGATGGGGACATTTCTTCTTGGGAAGTCAATCAAATGACCAGAAAGGGTCGCCAATCTACCACAAAGAGATGTAAACTGAAGGAATGCAAAACAACCAAAAAGAGACACAAAATGACTACAGAGAGACAAAACAACCACAAAGATGTCACTTTGAATCTGTGGCTCTTGCTTTCATGTAGTGGGGGGGGCTTTTACATAGGGGCCCATTGTCTCATAATCTGTCCATGGGTGAAACACAGAGCACTGGTTACAAAATGCTTTACAAACTGTTTGCATCAGTTTTGTATGTAAAATCTTCAAAGACTGCAAAGTAACTATGGTTGTAAAAATAAATGCAGTGGAGTAAAAAGTACAATTTTTGCCTCTGAGTCGATGTATAAAGTTCTACAAATGAAAATACTCAAGCACAAGTACCTTGAAATTGTAATTAAGTCAGTTACTGTGGCTGTTCTTTGCCATAATATATTTACAAATCTCACCCACAGCAGTTAAAATTTAGAGCTCAAATACTTTATTGGGAGGTTGTACTTCCAAAATTGCACTGAAACTTGAAATCTCCCCCCACCTTCCCTTTTTTGAATTAAAGTGTCTCCACTAATTCAAACTCTGTATATCAGCATGGTCAGCTAAACCTCTACTGCCTCTCTCACTCTAAAAATCTAGCAGCTACAAATTGCATGCATCATCCAGTTGTTGTGATTCCTCCCTCACAACTTGCAGGTCCAAACTCAGCTCACACAGGTGTTTGGGTTTTTTTGTTTGTTTGTTTTTTTGTTTTTTTTTTTGATAAATTGACTTTGTGTTTGTGCTTTGTGCTTGTGCATAAAAATAAACCACATTTGCATCTGATAGACAAAAGTCTCCTCTTGCAGTGTTATTCGTCAGAATGTACTGTATGTGAGAGGGAGGTTGGGCTCATACAGATATCAGACAGCCAGTAGTGTTGTAAAATGCTGGAGAGTGAGATACCTCCATGCCACTGAGGAGCCAGGTGTCATCAATCAACACGTTACCGCCTGACTTGTATAAAAGTAGTGTTCTGTGTTTCAGTGTGTAGCTGCTATCTTTACTTGAAAGAAGTGCAGAGTACTGGTGACTATTGAGTATCTGGTGAGTATCGGCCTGTTTTAGTAACTAGTTTGAGGTGAGGATTTATTCAAATGATTTGACAATACCTTGAAATTCCTGTGTGTTTTCTCTAATCTGTAATCTACACTAAAGTATTTCTCTAAACTCAGACTAAAGATGTCTGGGCGTGGAAAGAAAGCTGTGCCCAAACCAAAATCTTCAGTGTCCCGGTCTTCCAGGGCAGGGGTCACTTTCCCAGTGGGCCGCATCCACAGGCTGCTCAGGAAAGGCCAGTACGCTAAGCGAGTCGGCACTGGCTCAGCAGTTTACCTATCGGCTGTCCTGGAGTACCTCTGTGCTGAGATCCTGGAGCTGGCAGGAAACGCTAGCCGTGACAACAAGAAGCACCGCATTGCTCCTCGGCACATCTTGTTGGCAGTGAAAAATGATGAGGAGCTCAACAAACTGCTGGCAGGGGTCACGATCTCAGAGGGTGGCGTCATCCCAAATATCCAGGCAAGCCTTCTCCCCAAGAAGACCAAGGCACCCAAAGATGACAGTTCTGCCAAAGATGTTGAGTCTCAAGAGTTTTAATCGTGAATGTTAAGTCTTGGAAATTTTTATCATATTAAAGTTCTACATTTTTTTTAAAAGGATGTATGTCTCCTTACTAGTTGAGTCATGGGGAAATGCTGTACACCTTGCTTTCTAGGAATGTGTGTTTTGGTGGGGTTGTGTGTTTTTAAGATTGTTTAGAGGCTATTTGTTTTCTGTACATGTCCATTAGAACTTGACTTTCTTTACTCAAACCCTGCTATTGTTCCTGCACAGGTTGTGAATGTCGGTGTGGGTTCTTGACAGTGTGTGTAGATGTGTCTATCGCAGGAAGTCTACACTGATGCATTTGTGGCAGAGGATTTAAGTTCCAAAATCAGGAAAGCAAGTTTAACACAGAGGCTGTTTACTTGGTCATCACTAAAATCTTGACTGAACCACAATGTTACAGGATCATTTCATCTCAAAACCTTAAGGAAGGATGACCTGCTGCAGGAGTGATTCAGGCCAAAATGTTCCATGTTCAGGGACAAAATGACAAGACTAACTGGCGTTAATTGTATCTATGCCACTTTAATTGTTTTGTAATTTAACATCTTGAATTGTTTAGCCACTGAATTGTGACAGCACTTGACTGAATTGCCCTGACAGCAGGTCAATTCAGGTCGGCATAAAGATGACCTGGCAGTATAGTTGGGATATTTGCCTGTAGGTTCTAGACTTTACATCTCTGAAACCCACTTCCTTCATAGATTAGTTTGGACATAACTTTTATTCCAAAAGTATTCAAATTAACCCTTGTAATTTCTTCGCTTTCAATGAGAAATGTTCCTTTCAGACAGGCTTGTTGCTGCTGAAGCTAAGAAACAATGATAGTGAAAGCATTCACACTCTCCAGTCTGTGCAATACTGAGACTGAAAGTTTCTCAAATATTGTTTTTCCTACAAATTAACTAGGACATTTACCAAACCATCCTGACATGAAACTGCATTGTTTACTGCACACTAATCATCTCACCTAATTTTGCATCACAACTGTCAATACTTCTCATCCAAAAGGTCTGGGGTTTTGCAAACCCCACTCATGCCAACGCACACGTTGGTTGATGAAGATACACCCTCTACATGTGGAGTTGGTGGAGAATTTTGGGTTGTCGGCACATGCACTAAAGCATTGTCTAAAGTGGGCGCATCCAGATTTACATCAGATAATGTATTTTTCTGTATTAACAGAACTGTGCAACCATCAGACATCACAGAACAAATGCAAAATAAGTTATAAATCAGTTCATACATGGCAATAATGTAAGAATGTATGAAATAGAATAAAAATTTAAATACTGCAAAACTTAATGTGATGTTTGGCAATAATATTTCCATGTGTTTCAGACATTCTTGATCATCACATACTAATCACTGCTTTCAATGCATCCTTGTAATTAGGTAATTCAAGGGGAAAAACTCAAAATTTGGGGGTTAAGGTCATACAGTACTGTGGAAAGGTTTTAGGGACTGTAGATGTCTAAATTCTTATCCATCATGCAATAGCATCAGGGTATTCCAAGATTGGCCCAAAATTCATTCTGCAAGATGAAAACAAACTCAAACACACAACCAGAGTCGTAAAAACCTTATCTTCAGCAACAAGAAGATCTTATAATCATGGAGTCAGTCTGGGACCACAAGCAGCAGAAGAAACAGAAGACAATGAAGCTGTCAATTGTGCAAGTTCTCCAAGACACCAGGATGTAAAGTTGAGTTGATTTCGTTTTTGCTGTTTACTATACTTACTATGACATTTACTGATGCACGGCATTATTTTTCAAAGCATCCTCACTTCACTTTTAGTGAGTAAAACTATTGCACATTACTGTTGCACTGTGTGGACTTTAGATGTGGACTTTGTCCAACAATATAATCAAATCGATTATTTATTGTTATACATTATATATTTTGGAGTGGAAGGATTACGATCAAAGTAAGCAACACTATTTCACTTTCCTAATTTCATATTATAATCTCAATATTGCTGTAAACCTTTCAAATATTGTCCAGTTTATGCAAATACATCAATGTGTTTATGCCTTTTTCTCAACCATCTGTAACACTGCGTCTGCTGAACGTACCCCTGTGGGTAACGACGTGCTGACGTAAGACGTGTGAACAACAAACAGTTGTTGGACTTCAACAAGCTAGCGAATGGCACTGCTAGATAAAAACTGGTTCAACAGACTTCTCCCGGATAGAGAGGGACCTACGGGACCTACCCGGTCGGAATATCATTAGTATAATCTCATTATAGTTAACGCTGTTAGTGCTGGCAAGTCTAGCGTCGGTACGGTTCCCTAGCGCCAACGTTAGCCACCGAAACATGCCCATTGCTCGGAGTGTGACGCCTGTTTTTTTTCTGGCTGCCGCTGGTCGAGGGTAGTGATGCGAGCCGACCTGCAGCGCGACAGAGGGTGAGACAAGAGCTATAACCGGAAAATATTTTTCTCGGCACAGGAGAATGGACTTTGTCGTGGGGAAGCAGACGAGCTCACTCAAAGAAGCAGGCATGCGACCGCACACGGGCCTGGATGTCATTGTTGGGCAACAACTTTAGCAAGCTAGCTAACGTTAGCTCTCTCAAATTCATGCAAATGAATCAGTTTGGTATCGGGCAGTAAGCTCACTTTGCTAGCGTAATGGAGGCACCCTGAGTGACTTGTTCATTTGAATTGACTGTCCTGGTCCTGTTAAATACTGCCGGCAATGTGCTGACGACTAGGGAGCCTTTAGTCGGTTCCCACTTGGAGCTTAAGGACACGGTTGGCAGAAATTATTAAGTGCTGGTTGCCTGCCTGGGTGATAGTTTAGCAAAGTTGCCTGGCCTGGCAAAGAAATAATTACTGAAACTATCTATTTCGCGCGGGTATCACATATTTCTTGCATTGATATTTGTGTGAAATTGCACTTTAATTAATTTTTCAAGAATGCACCAAAATGACCTGTGATTCAGGGGTTGGTGAAAATTAAAATTGAAAGAGCCGTCAATACAACAAACCGTTCAAGGTATAGGAATAATTTTTTGATTGCACTTGCATATAATTTGGTCAATTAAGGACCAGGATAGGTGCACATCTACATATATTGTTGTGAGAGACTGGCTCATCCATGTCATCTGGCTCCTAGTTGCTGTTGAACCTAATATCTAGGCTGTCTGGCACAGTTAAAGACTGAGTTTCACTGGAAATGAAAACATGAATATCGAAGAGCAGTGTTTAGATTTGTGCAATGTCAAGACAAAAGGCAATGTTGATGATGATCACAACACTACTAACAACACAGAAGGGGTCACCCCTCGGATCTCTGAACTGATGACAGATAGTAACACAGAAAAGCAAAATACTGTTCCCACAGAGGCCTCTGAAACATACCTGATGCCTCAGCTCACTGACAACCTTCAGACAGCTGAGGAGGATAACCACCAGGTACAAGACACACTGGAAATTGATGAGGTCAATGGAAACAGAAAAAGCAGTGCCATTGACACCCCTCTGATAGCGAATCCCACTGACTTGATCTTTTCTAATGATGAGCAGCACAAGAACGATATTGGGGTGGAGCAAATGAAGGAAGAGAAAGACACTGATCCTGTTGTGGGTAAAGGAGATGATGGTGGGGACATGGACATGGGTGTGGATTTGAGTCTGGATGAGAGTGGGGTGCTGGAAGCTGAATCGACAAACGTCAGGTCATTGTCAGACAATACTTTAGACTCAGAGTCCACGTCTCAGGATGTCCCAGTGGGCAGCACGGCAGAAAGTCCGTCAGATGCAAGCCAGACGAGTAGCACAGAGGCTTCTGCCACAGACCAGGCTGGACTGTACCCCTCGGTGGAGGAGGAGGACAATAAACAGAAACCAAGTGGCAAAAGGGTGACATTTCCCTCAGATGAGGACATTGTCTCTGGAGCAGTGGAGCCCAAGGACCCCTGGAGACATGGTAATACTGTGTATTTGTTTCTGCACGTGTGTATGTGTGAATGACTTTTATATATTTATCCTACTTGTGCCTGTATGAACATGTCAGTGCAATATATTTTGCCAGAATTAATTCTCATAGGACTTATAACAACATTTTCAAGCTCCTGACTGGAGAAAAAAAAAGCTGTTCGCTCTATTTAGACTGGGTTTAAAATGTGCCATGTCATGGTACATATTTCTGTGTTGTTGGTAAAAATGTGAATTGTGTATGGATGTTGACACTGATGCATTGGAGTTGTATCAGTGTGCCGGTCTTTGATGGGACTGTTGTTTTGTGTCTGTCTTCAAAGCTTACAGTCTATTCAGATCTCAGGCAACGCCTGTGCTCCCACCCCTTTTTCAAACATAAGTTTACTTCTGACTTTAAATTGTCAAATGAATAACAAAATAGCTTAGTCTTAGTAGATTTCTTATTCCCAACGGCCAAATGCACCTACATATCTAAATATAGTCCTAGGCCTGTGCTGTGTGCGGTGTTGTGAGTGGATCCCACCACTCCTTGAGGTGTGCCATTTTACCACAGTAGGTTCCTGTTTGTTCAGTGACAACACGTTTAATGGAAACTCTTGCAGGATATGCCCCTGCCTTTACTATGTTGATATAAGGTAACAAATCTTTAAAGTCTCAACAGATCTTTTTTTTATTTCTACAGTTAGTCTTCCATTTAATAATATGCATGTATTTTACAATAAATGTCATACATTTAGGGTAAAATGAAACTGATACCCAGCAAGTACATTTAGCACTACAGTAGCACAAAACACCAGACAGTTAAATAGGAACAAAATACAGATAAGAAGAGAAAATATATACAGTCATATACATTAAACCAGTGTGAATTAATGTAGTGTATGTTCAAAACCAATAACTTCTTCTGCCAGTCAAATAGATCAAATATATTTGGAATTTATTTTTGTACATAGATTAGTATTTATGTATATACCAGTATCCAAGTGTTATGAATACAATCAAGCATAATGTGAAATACAATTTGATTTGTTGTGCAATTTTTTTGTATCTTTTGATTAAATTCAACTTTACTCTCATTGCATAGAGTAAGTTATAGTACAGCAAAATGCGCTTTTTATTGCCATAAACAATGCATTTTTGGCTACATTGTTGTGTACCAGTAACTGAGGTAAATATTGTAGGAATTGTCCAAGCGGCTTTTCTTGCCCCCAGTCCTGATTCAGGACTAATAATATTGGTAATTTGCTTTTTATTATTCTATTTTGTTTATGTTTTTGCAGTCTAGTTCTTGTCATGTAGAGTTATACTGCTTCAGTATACAGTAGTTTCATGTTGAATGTTTTTTGGAAGAGCTGGGAAGTCGTGTGTGATCTGACTATGACTCACACGCTCCTTCATCTGGTGTGGACAATGGACATCATTGAATAAACAGAACTTACAGTCACAGTGCGAAAACTGGTGTTTGCTCACAGCACTGTGACGGCAGTCGACATAGTTACACAGCTGATGGTAGTCTGAGAAAATGCCAGATTTGTGTTAATTTAGAGTATGCTGTCAGCCAGGCCCTTAAGTCTCAGTGTCTGTGTGACGCGTGTGGCTGTAAGGGTAAGCCAGTGAGAGTCCTGTGTTTTTTCCTGGTGTATAAAACCAAAAATGTAGGCCAGGGCAATGCAAGGGTCAGTGGTGCGAAATGTCCAGATGGGGGAGGGGTAGTAGAAAGAAGCACAAAAGCAGCAAGATTAATATGCACAACCAATACTGCCTCATGTTCAGCTGGATATGAATTGTTCTATTAACACCCCTGCAACTGGTCAGAAAGACACTTATGTTTTCAGCCGTTCATCCTAACACATTTTGTAACTGTAAATTATATTCTACCCACTCAACATAATTTACATGTTTATAGCATCTATTCCCCTCACCACTTCATTTAACCCTGTTGCTTTTCCAAACTATCAGCAACTTTATAGTCCACATGCCAGGCAGCCACTCTGATAGTAAATTGGACCTGAAATATCTTAAGCCACACACTACAGGGGCAAAGTCCAATCCAGTTAGCCAAGAGTTCTGAGCCCTTATGAAACATCCAATGCCGGGAACAGTAAAGTATCTTGGTGACTGTAGTGTGGATTGAGATTATTTATCACTGCAAGTTTTTCATATAGTTGATTTAAGATCCAAAGGTCAGCTGATTGTGCAGTTTTTAGAAAGAGGTACACAGACAGTCGATGGCGGGGAAGTTAATCACATGATACAGAATGTTCTGTTTTTAATATGCACAAAGATAAGACTGGGCTAAATTTATCAGAACAATTTTAGTCAAGCGTGTCAGAATAATTTGAACTCCAAAATAGATTAATAAAGTGATTCAGTGTAGCACCGAAGTAGTTATATAGAATTTACCACTGTTCAGTGTATTATAGACAAAACTACACATTCCTGGTAATCTCAAAGTGTTACTGTTTTGAGGACTGTGTCTGCCCACTGATTCCATAAAACATCTAATTCTTTATCAAACTAATTGAGTTAATGGTTGGAGTTTAAATGGATTACTGTGTCATCTAAATGATCTGAGCTGTAAATATACCCAAAGCTGACAGCACATACATGTTAATTGTTAATAAGCTGGAAAAATTTATAGACATCCACTGTAAATAATTGCATAATGTAATTTTTTGCAACTAATGAAGCTAAATAATTACAAAACGCCCAAGGTTTAATAAATCTTATCTCATTTTGGAAATTACTTCTAGCACTCTGTTTTCAAAATTTGTTAAATAACTCTAATGGTCTGTCAGTGGTGAACTTCCTAAACTTTTGACATTCACCTGGATTTCTTTTCCTTTGTCCTGTTTCTGCCATCTGTCTTTAGGACATGTTCGTATTCGAGTGTGTTTGTGTGTGTGTCTGTGTGTCGCGTAAGTCCAGGAAATGAAATGTATCTGAATATCCACCCCAAGGCTCCTCATTCTTCTTCAGAAGTGAGCACTGTCCCACAATAGATCCACGATCCATCCAGACCCTTTATCTGCAGATCTAGTGTCAGGTTCTCCAGGTCCCTGTCCCATGTCATCTGTCAGAAACAAAACAGTGAAGAGGGTCTGAGCTCACAGAGCCTCGAGCTTCATTCGTGGTCACCACGAGTTACTGGTGTAGGAGCAGAGGGAAGAATATGTTAGATGGATATTGAGTGTTCATGAAGCAGCATATATCTCTTTAATTGCTCTCACGAAATGAGTTTCTGAACAGGATTAAACTTCATAGAGTCAAGAAAGCTGCCATTTAAAATAAACACCTGGGATTCAGGAGGAAATAGAGCCAGGAGAACAATAATAGCCAGCTGTGGTGTCATATTCCTATTTCTTTCTTGGTACTCTCATTTTTCCAGAATTTACTTCATCCAGTTTTGTGGTATCAGCTTACAGCAATGTGTGAGGCTAGAATTAACCAAAAAATACAGACCAGCAGCAGTTCTTGGAACTGTTTTTGTAATGCTTCACTCAAGAGCTTAATTTTGGCAGCATACATTTGAACAGCATAAGGGTAAAAAACTTGAATGTCATTTTGGTCTGAGTTAGATAATATCACTCTTCAGAAGTCTTTCTTTTTTCTTACCCCTCTCCCTGTCTAGACTTGAGGGACGCTTGTTCTTTCCCTCCAGGCCTGGGCAAATACTACATCATATCCTGAGATTCCTGAACTTCCCAGCATGCTGCGTTGCTTCCCCTCCTCCCCTGTTTCTTCTCCCTGGCTAGCCAATTCACTCTAGGTGCAGTTTGAGCTTAAATCCTCAAAGCATGTCTTTACACAAACACTGGTGCATACTGCAAGCAAATGCTAAGTAATTTCTTTCATCAGACCAGATTGATTTTGTTAAGTCATGATACACAGTAGCCATACAGAATAGTTAAGTATTACAGTACCTCAACTAGAGGACTACTACTTTATTGTAATACAGCTTTCCTTCACATTAATGTTTATCCTGCAAGCAACCATGCTCTTTGGCCTACGTGCAGCTCTGTCTCATGTCATCAGACCCAAGGCCCACTTGGCACTAGGTTATTAGAGGCTCTGTGACCCATGAAATGTTATGTGTTATGGCTGTGGACCAAGTTACCAACTGATAAGCAAAGCTTTCAGTGTAGAGAATGGACAAAGGCTTTGTAAATGTAGGAGTTAGTTCAGTTTGCACTAGAGGCGGACCAGTACTGGATTTGGGGGGGGCGGGGGCAATAAGGCCAGCAGAGTAAAAATAAAAGTCTCTTTATGGGGTCATCTGACCAAGACATAGCACATTTGATAAATTTACCATGATTGTTGACAGTGTTTTATGTATTCTGAAAGACCTTTTAGATTTGCAAAGATGCTTTTTTGTCTTATTGGGAACAACATGATTGTAAAAATTTAAGTGTTAAATCAAAGTTGCAAAGCTGATAATGCAAGCTGTCTTATTGGTGTCTGTCATGAAACTAAAAATGTATTGATCATTTTGTGCTTTTAGGAGTCTTCTTCATCTCTTGTCAGTGTTATTTTTGTAATACTTGTAATGATTTTTGAGTTGTTGGTTTTGTTATGGTTTCTTAAAATAAATGAAAATGATAGGAGTACATATATACATTTGGATGCAGAGAAATTGACTTGTGAAGAATATTTTGTTGTACACAACTTCATTTTGAGTTACTAACTTTAATATCCGTGAAGTGTGTACTCAACTGAGCAACTGATCTATAACACTATAAATACTTGATCAGTATAGGCTGCAACTAACAATTATTTTCATCATTGATTAATCTAGACATTACTTTCTCAATCAATTAGTCTTGCTTATAAATGTCAGTTTTCCAGAATCTAAGGTGACATCTACAGATACCTACAGGTATCTGACCAACTGTCTTAAAACCCAAAGATATTCAATTTACAATGATAAAAAAAAACACCAAATTGTTACATTGGAGAGGACCAAACAGGCAAATGTTTTGCTTGGAAAAT